AATGGGGACTTATCTCAGTTAGTTTTGCTTCAGTCCCCAGTGCTGCTACTTCTCCCATATACGCTAATTCCTCATGATGGGCTGAGGCCAATGTCAGTATTAAATATAAAGTCTAAGAATCTGATAGAAACATCAATGATTAATATTCCAGGTACAAACATGGCTGAACACATGCATGGTTCTAGAAAAATGTTGACCTTAAACAACTAGGCTGCCAGATAGTTCTCCAGCAAAATCGGTTTATTTGAAAACAAGGAAGAATTGTAATTTGGGGCATGTGATCTACAGTTGAACCACACATAAGACCAGAGAAACGAAGGGGAGAGGGGGGATGGAATGCTCTTTCATGGACTTAGAGGTGGTGAGGTAAATAAAGACTCCATTGGAGGAAAGTGAAAGTTCAAAGTATATTATATGTGTCTTTTCATTGGCTGAGCTATGGCAGTTTCCCTTTGGCTGAGCTGTTACTGGGCAAGGAGGAATCTTTTCTTTCTCCTGCTGAGGTAGTAATGTGGTATCACTTCCTGTTGGCGATGCAGGATACCTATCTCTTTCTATTGGGATCAGCAGTATGCGTGGAGTGACATGTGTGTGAGAGTTATCTCTTTCTAGCCTCTCAACTTCATTTTAAATGAGCTTTGTATATATCAATTTTCACAGAAGTAATAATGAAAATTAAGACTTTGAGGTTAGCAATGACGTAGTTCAGTTCAGCCAACATTATTAAGAGTACACCAGGTTCCAGGAAAGAGATGCAGAAGACAAGGTCCCTGCCTTTGAGTAGCTCAAGTGAACGGAAGGAGCCAAACACATGAATAAATCATTTCAGTAGATTGTAGATAAGTGGCCAGCTCAGTTTTGGAATTGGCTAGAAATCATTATGAGTAATCATAGGATTAGTAGTGTTCTCAGTGACGTATAAACCCTAGAGTGCATGGCTGAAATTTTGTCTATCTCTACCTGATCCCCATTCATAGAATCATAGAGTGAGAAGCACTTGGAAGATAATATATTATTAACCTCTTTACTAGTTACAGATGCAGAAACAGAGACAGATCCTTTAGTATCTGAATGTGCTCTCCATTTATTATAATAGGAAGAGTTTTGGGTAAATTAATTCTTAATTTTATTCAACAACACTTATTTGGCACTTAGAACTATGCCAGCTGCCAGAACGTAATGATGAGTAAGAGACAGGCCCTGATCTCAAGTTGCTCAAGGTGTGAAATGATTGAGTGAAGACCAACCAGCAAATCTATAATAATAAAAGCATAATATGCTAATTAGACTGGACATCCTTCCAGACAACCTTCCAGACGAAGCTGTGAGGGAAGCCCGGGTCATAGGTGCCAGAGGGAAGCCGGTGCTGGCTCAGGGAAGGAAGGCCTACTCTTGCACGAATTTCATACATCGGGCCTCTAGTAGATACATAAAAATGCAAGATGATAATTAGTGTCCTGGAGCTATGCACACAGTGGAGTGGGAATATGGGGATGGTGCAGGACGCAGGAATGGTTTTGCAGAAGAAGGGGTGTTTGAATAGATGCCTCTAGAATGAGTCATGTGTATTCTCAACAGAAAGCGTGCCATGGAGACAAACAGCTGTGCAGTGGGATGGAGATGCAAGAGCATGGCATACTGAAGGCCTCCCAGGCTCGCAGTATAACTGAGCATAGAGAGAGGGAAAGGAGCAGATAGTGAAAATCTGGTGATAGTCAAGGCCAGTTCCTTGTCCTCAAGGAGCCCCTGAAGAATAGTTTACAGGTCAGATTTTGGTGAAGAAATAACACTTTATAACAAAGGTGAGGGCCAGAGGCAGGGAGACCAGGAGACTAATGCGGTAGTCCAAGCAAGATGCAAATGAGGCTTGTCCATAGGGCAAGTGAGGCAGATGAGATTGGCATAGTGGCTGCACATGAGAGATTTCTGAAGGCTTCCAAGTTTGGTTGGATGTGGATAGTTAGAAAGAGCAGGGACTCTAGATGGATGCCGAGATGGATGGACCAGTATGTGAGTAGATGGGGGTATCATTCATTGAAACAATGAAAATAGGAGAAGGAAGAGGATAATGATTTCAGTCTGTGATTTGGGGTATTGGGGCGTATGTGAGAGGGACAGAGAGTACACTCCTAGTAAATAGTTGAACATGTTGATTTGGAGATGGGGAACGAGGCTTAGGCACAAGGATACACATTGGGGAATTATCAGCATATAGGTGATGATTGAAGCCACGGATAAGAAGATGGAAGGGTTATAGGCTAAAGGCAGGAAAGGCAGCTTGTAGTGATGTTATAAAGGGCCTTGAGTGACCTCTCAAGGTTTTACAAGGTGAAACTGCCTTGGCTAAAGAGATTGTCCAAGTTGGAGTTGAATTAAAGTTTAAGTCATTAAGTAAGCATGTGTGGAGCATGTTCTGTGTAGCTTGACATGGGTGAGGGCTGTGAATAAAAAAGGCAAAGTCTGTTTTGCCCTTGTGCGGCCTCTTAGCTTAGGTTGGAGAATCATGTATATAGTTAATTTCCACAACAATAAGTACTACAAAAGAAAAGTACTTAGGGCAATTTAATAGTACGTAATTCAGGAGGGGAATAGAGGAGGGGGCTGGCACTTGGTCTGTGGGGTCAGGGGAGGAATCCCTGAGGAAGTGACATTTCAACTGGACCTAAAGAATAGACAAGACCCAGGTGAAGGGATGGGGAAAACACTCCAGGGAGAGAAGATGGCATGTGCAAAAGCCCTGAGATGGTAGAGTGTGTTCAAGGGCCTGAAAGGTGCCTGTGTAGCCTGAGAGAACGAGAGGTGGGTGCTTGAGATGAGGTGGTGATGTAGGTAACCCAACTCTCCATAACACACCTGGGAGCTGCTTCATGAGCCCATGCAACTGCCACTCTTCCCTGCTTGCACACACCTGAGGACCTGGGTTTGTCAGTCCAGATTTACTCCAAAGGAAAACATTTTTACAATAGCAGGATCCTTAAGTGAGCAGTGAGCCACAGCCAGGAGAGTCACTCTTTCCCTTGGCAGCCACCTGGACCTGAATCGGCACCGGAATTCCATCTTGGAGCTGACTATGGGCATTTATTGACAAGCAGTGAGGAGGTGAGGACTGTGAGCGTTGTCTGGATTTGGAAAGAGGCTGTTCAAGCAAAAAAGAAAGGCAGAGGAATTGAAAAGCCAAGAAATCAATGTGTTTTGGTCAACACAGCTCGCCTGGGAGTATAACATTTTAGCTTGGCAGCAGCAGAACATGCCTTTTTTGGAACTCAGCATGTCCAGAAATTAGCTCAAAAGTCAAAATCCAGCCTTGGAACATATTGGTCTCGATGTGTTTCTTTTGTGAATCCTAACAAACCAATGGGGAAAATAACTTTGGAAGGAAACTTGATTGATTTTTCAAAGAAAGCAAGAACTCTGAAAGTTTACCTTAAATGTATTAAAGCCATCCTCCTAGGCAGCTTGTAAGAGAAACTAAATTAGATTGCAATTCTGTTTTGCAAAAAGTCTTTAATTTATTTTCCCAAATGTGGGGATTTTCCCCCCCATTATTCCTGTCAGTTTGGTTTATTAGGTAAAAAACTGGATGGCCGGGTTCTATAATTCACTGTTTTTTTCCTCTTATTGATAACAAATGCATCTCCATGTTCCCTCCAGTCTCCAAATACATATTTTGAAGTAATAAGCTGTTGTATTCAAGGTAGTATTTAAAGATTAAATATAGGGCCCTAGCTGGTTTGGCTCAGTGGATAGAACGTCGGCCTGCAGACCAAAGGGTCCTGGGTTTGATTCTGGTCAAAGGCATGTAGTTGTTTGCAGGCTACTTCCCGGCCCGGGTCCTGGTCGGGCTCGTGCAGGAGGCAACCAATTGATGTGTTTCTCTTGCATCGATGTTTCTCTCTGTCTTTCCCTCTCTCTTCCACTCTCCTTAAAAATCAATGGAAAAATATCCTCAGGTGAGGATTAAAAAGAAAATAAAAAGATTAAATATAGGTTCTTTCAGGTTTTGTGGTAAAGCATAATTGCCAAAAATTCAATACTTGGGCTTTAGCACTTAGTAACAATGGGACCTCTGTGCCTCTATTTTCTCATCTGTAAAATGGAAATAAATAAACCTGTTCACTTACTAACGAGGGCGTTTGGAAAGAATGAAATAATGCGAGGAAGAGTGCTTTATATACTGTGCCACCATCCACATGTTAAGTATTAATCTGATCATAATTCTCATCACTGTGACCAAGAAGATCATTCACAGTAAGATTCAAAGACTTTTTATATCTGCCATGCAAATTTTTATAGGTATGCTCTTCATTCATGTCCTTTCTCTCAATGGTTACCAATATACATAAGAATCATAAGAATCGCATCTCAGAAATATGAGAAGGGGTGTCCATTCCCCTCCTATTTTCCAGAGAGGAAAAAAAAAGTTATTTTGTGACTGTCCAAAACATATTTTACCTGTCAGATGTACCCACAGAATTGTAAAGTATATATCACAGTTTCCCTTTTGTCCATTAACAATGTAAAATTTACAAATTTTTCATAAAGATAGAAGAGAAAGAAAAGAAAATGAATAGTGAAAAACTTTGAATGGTGATAGCATTGTTCAGGGATTAGAAGAAACACTCATGGGTTAACATATACTGTAAATTGTCATATTGTTTACTGTGTCTGTTGAGGGGAGCATAGGATAGGTCCCCTAGGTCTGCATAAGCTGGCACATTTTGTAAAGCCATCCTATTTCTTCTCCCTTTTCACTCCATACCATGAGAGCCTTGCCTCTCTCCTAGTTTTTCCACAATAGTTTCCACTACTGGATTTAAGGCTTCCCCTCCCTCTGTGGGTGAACTATGAAGAGCAGTGCCTTTGACATGAACTACAGGGATAGGAAAAGTTGAGATGTTCTTGAGTACAGAATAGACCTTTTGTGGGGTGGCAAGAGGACGAGTGGCAAGAAGAGATTTTCTCCTTCCTGACTGTAAAATGCTTTCTATTTCAAATCTCAGGTGACAGTGACAGATGGCGGTTCCTCTCCGAAACAGTCAACCATCTGGGTGGTGGTTCAGGTTTTGGATGAAAATGACAACAAGCCCCAGTTCCCCGAGAAGGTCTACCAGATCAAGCTACCGGAACGTGACCGGAAGAAGAGGGGAGAACCCATTTACAGAGCTTTTGCATTTGATAGAGATGAGGGCCCCAACGCCGAAATCTCCTACAGTATAGTGGATGGCAATGATGATGGAAAGTTCTTTATTGACCCTAAAACTGGCATGGTTTCTTCCAGAAAGCAATTTACAGCAGGGAGTTATGACATCCTAACGGTAAGATTTTTCTGAACCTCAGTAATGTTAATAGGGGGAAGGAGTCACTTTCTCATTCATGTATATTTATTTGAACAATGAATCTTTAGAGTAAAAAGTAGTGGAAGGCTACCTCTGTTTCAGTGATATTCTCAAAATAATGATACCATTTCCTTTGGTTGTGTCCTATCAGCAAACCTCCTTCATTCCCAGTCCACATCCTGCTCCACCACATACTCAACACATTCCCTGTGACCCTAAATTGTTTCAAGGTACTATGCATAGATGTAAACTGAGGGTAGGGGAATAGCAGAGTGACACATCCCACCTGCTACTCAACATCACTCAATGTGTCTCCAAGAATTTCCAAAGAAAACAGCTCTTATAATTGTTGACAATGTGATAGAACATGAACTGTGAATGGTGAGACACAAATCACAGTTATGCTTATTCTCTAAAAAGTGTGTGTGTGTCGGGGGGGAACCTTAAGTAAAAAGTGACTAAATTTTTCAGTGTTAGAAAATTAAAAACAAAAACAGACATGAGCACCATCTCAAATAGAGACTTAAACTCCCATGTCTAAGGTTCCAGCCAGCTCCCCCCACTCCTAACCACGTTAGACATATAATACTCATTCCAGGAAGGGGACTGGTCATCCTACAAATGATGGGCACTTTCTAGGGACCCAACAAATGGCATGAGTTAGCACCATCTGCCATCTTTCTATTAGTCCTCAACCTTCTCTGCTGTATACAGTCAGTTCTTTATTGTTTTAAAGGATGCCCTTCGTCCCTTAATTTATCTTTTCACTCCTATGTTCTGGACTTGGGTTCTTTCCCTGCTCAGTAATGCATCCAAAACAGTGGGCAGAGAAAAGAAGATAATAAAAAACTAGCCCTGTTTGTACCATGAAAAGCTCTGCTGAGGTAAGTGCTGTTGCAGCTGTGTGAGACTTGCCAATGGGAATCTCTGAGGACCGCATGGACTGCAGTGGATGCTGTTGGTGCCCACCCAGATTCCCTTTACTAGGCTGGTGCAGCTATCCCCAAACTGAGTGACTGGATGTTGGCTGCTAAGGGCTCAGAGCTGCCCTCTTCTCCAGAGAGTCATCCTTGACCGAACTTCTTGGTTCTACATTCCCACCCCAGCCCAGCAGCCCACAACCAATGACTGACTGACACCTGATACAGAACTCTAACCCACTAGCCTTCAGATGGATCCAATTCACTGGTGCAGTTAATGATTCCAAGGTCCCTACGGGATCAGGCTGAGATTAGACTTTAACTGAGACCACATCCTTGCTTAACATCTTCCCCCTGTCCATCCTGCTTTCTTCACTTCCTTTCTCCTGAGAACACTTCTCCTCCACCCCAAAATCATTTGCACTCAAATCCCTGTCTCGGGCTCTGCTCCTAGGGAACCTGACCTAAGACATCTATCTTCAAGGGTCCTTCCTCTCACAGGAATTTTCAAGGGTAAAGTGGTCATCCATGAACACAGAGCACTAGGGAGCTAGGAGTTGCCACTGTTTTTAAAGGCTGTAACTATTACCCATGCATCTATAAATGTTAATTTTAACCTGATATTTTTAAAAATCCTTTGTTTTTCTTTTCTCTCAGTGGTGTCTGCTTGTTAGACGTAACTGCCTCCCACACACACACACAATTTAAGTCTAAGACACCATAGCAGTTTACCCTGCTCATATGAGTGAGGAGACATGCTTTCCTTGGCTTTTACATCAGACCATAGAGAAGAATCATTAACACCCCTTTTCCCACTCCACTGCGTTCAGGAGCCCATGCTTCCATCAAGGGAGTTCTTCACCATCATTCAGTTGGCATAACTGAAGGGCCTCTGAGGCAGTTAGAGCAAGGCTGCTGCCTTTCCCACACCTACTCCACTCGTCCTGGACGGTGTGAGTGAAATCCTTCTCCAGAATAAAGCAGAAGGAAGGAGCTGCAAAACATAACACACACTCACACACACACACACACTCACACACACACACATACACACACACACACTCACACACACACACACACTCACACACACACACATACACACACACACACTTCTGTGAACATGCTTTATTCACACTTAAGCAGAGATTCACAATGTACTTTATTCCCTTTCAAGCATCACCCTCAGAGGTATAAAGAATCAAATGAGCTATTTCTACTCATGTAACTATCATTCATGACCATAAAAAGCTAAGAATTGTAAGTGCAACATTTGTTTTTCAAGTTTTCCACCTCTGAAAGGTTGGTTGTGGTCCAAATCACCTTCTGGTGAATGTGGCATGGGACCCCCATGTGACCAAGTTGAAGCTGTTTCCCTTCCAGTTCCTGAGCTCATTCTTCCCAAATCTCCACTCTCTTCTTCCCTTTGCTGACACGGTGAGGAGTATGGACATTCAGCTCAACAATGTATGGGTGACAGATCCAAACTTCCGCGAGGATCCGAGCTCTAAGACATCTTTCTGTTTTCTCTCCGTGTGTGAGTAGATAAAGGCAGTGGACAATGGGCGCCCACAGAAATCCTCCACGGCCCGTCTCCACATTGAATGGATTAAGAAACCACTCCCTTCGCCTATACCGCTAACCTTCGATGAGCCATTTTATAACTTCACAGTCATGGAGAGCGATAGAGTCACCGAGATTGTGGGGGTTGTGTCTGTGCAGCCAGCTAACACCCCTCTGTGGTTTGACATAGTTGGTAAGTTTGAGTCCTCCAGAGTTGTATGGGGCAATGTGATCATTGACTGTTTGGAGCAACTAGCAAGAAAATAAAAAAAATAAAAAAAATTAAGAAAAAAACACACGAATGATCAGTGCTAAAGGGCAATGTGATCATTGACTGTTTGGAGCAACTAGCAAAAAAAAAAAAATTAAGAAAAAAAAAACATGAATGATCAGTGCTAAGATTGAAACATGTATAGTGCTGGAATGCAAAAGAGCCAGTAAAATGAGTAATAGACATGTGCTTTCGTTCCGACTCTGTAGCTAAGCTGAACAGAAAGTGCTCTCTGGCTGGATTTTCCATAGTACGTTATTTACTGCAATCTTAATGTCTTTCTGTGTGTCATTTAAATTCTATTGTCACACTTGGCTAATCTCATTTCTAAATGTATTGATGGTACTAGACTTGCTGTCCTTCATTTCTCTCTTTTTCTTCACCTTTTTTTCTGCATTCTGTTCTTTTTTTTTTCTGCTCCCGACTACCCTGCTTCAAGGTGGCAAGCATGCTCGAGAGATGTTCTATATTCTACAGACAGCTTGTGGGCAGAACTGTTCAACAGAAGGTACCCTTAGTGCAAACACATTTGCTAAAAAACAACTATCCAATCTGCCTTTTACAGTTTTTTTTAAAGCGAATTAAATGACATCTTTCATAACCGCCTGTGACAGGCTGAAGTGCAGCCCACAGACCTCATACCCGCCCCTAACAGCGACTGCATTACTCGTATCCAGTGACTCTTTTGTTTGAGGTTGGATGGGGTTTGGGTTTCCAGTGGGGGTTGTTTTGATTTATTTTTCATTGTTTTTGAGGTATCCTGGGCTTTTCGTTGTTTTGTTTTCATCTTTTTTGTAGGTTGGTTTATTTAACTGGGCCTTTTCCAATTGAGAAGTAAAGTAAAATATATCCCAACTCGTCTGTTTTGCAGCAGTAATGCCATTCCTAGACCCCAAAACCCCACCAGGAAGAGTTTCCTGGCTGCTCTCCACAAAAGGAAGGGCAGGAAATGGAACGGGGATATATAGCCAGCGAGAGCTTCCCTCAAGAGCTGAATAGAGAAAGCAGATGGAAGCACACGGGATAGACCTTGGGAGCCAACCTTTGAATTCCTTGAAAGCAAGCAAGCACGCAGGCTGCAAAAGGAGAGGGCGAAACAGCACCGCTGCCCTCAACAAACCCGCAGGGAGAGCGGTGGAGAGGAAATAAGTGCTGAGGACCAGGAAACCTAGGCTATTGCTCAGAGGAGAGAGAGGAGAGTGTCTGCCAGCCCTGGATCTGACTCGGCTGAGCTAGAGCTGACTTCCCACGGTTCTCTGTGGGAGGCGGGGAATCCAGATTGCTGGTCTGGGGGAGTCATTTCCTTCCACATGTCACTGTCTGGAAAAGATGGGCAGGAACCTGCCTTTCTTTCCCAGGAATGGCTGGATCTGGGGAAAGCATTTAGAACATTCCACATCCGTTTTAATGAGGCACAGAAAAAGCATGCCTCATGACCCCCAACCAGACCTCAGTAGAGAGGGTCCTCCGAACTCCAAGCAAGAAAGGGCCTGTTTTCTACATGTGTCACTTTTCTGAAATGATGGTATAACGTCTCTGTTTTACTTAGTTGGCATTCATCACAGCATCCCTGTACATGGCCATCCTCATCCAAGCTTTCAACTCCTTCTTCATCTCCGCTTCATGCATTTGAAAAGGAACCTCCTCTGATCCATGGAAGATGTCTCTGCTTCTGTATCTTAGTAATTTTCAGCTCATTGGGTTATTATCTGAGGCAGCTCTCTCTTTCTTGGTGAAACTAAGGGTTGCCTATATGCATCGCCTGGTTGCCTGTGCCATCTGCTTGGGTGATTCCTTTGCCACCACCCCCAGGTGGAATCCAATGTCAACATGTGTCCTTGGTGCCGGGCCTCCAGGGGCATGTGTGATAGTGACTTCTTTTAGGTAACCCAAAGGAGGATAGTCCAAACCCATAGGCAACGGGCCTCCTGGGAAGCTGCCCCGAGTTGTGGGAGGAGCTGCCCTCTATCATCAGCCACCAGTTTACTTCCCTCCTTCCCTGACAGTCCAGTTTGCAAGCACCTGGACAGCCAGACAGCATTGCTTCTGTCCCTTGTGTGATCTGTGCATGCAACCTCCTGACCCTCAGCACATCTCACCACCTTCCCTGCCCACCCTCTTCAAAAGTGCTGCAAGCACACCTTTCTTTGATGCTCATTCTGACCAGCCACCTGACCCAGGGGTCCTCAAACTACGGCCCGCGGGCCACATGCAAATACAAATATTGTATTTGTTCCCGTTTTGTTTTTTTACTTCAAAATAAGATATGTGCAGTGTGCATAGGAATTTGTTCATCGTTTTTTTTTAAACTATAGTCCGGCCCTCCAACGGTCTGAGGGACAGTGAACTGGCCCCCTGTTTAAAAAGTTTGAGGACCCCTGATCTGACCCGTTAGCCAAGTCAAGTTTGTAATTCCTCAGCTTTCCTGCGTGTGTGTGTGTGTGTGTGTGTATGTGTGTGTGTGTGTGGTTACATATAGGTAAGCATGTCTAGTAGTACTGCATGTTACCTTACTTGCATGTTTTATATCAGCATTATTAGTGCTATTGTATGTTTTCATTCGTGTTTCTCCTATCTCCATCCATAAACCTTAAGGTCAAGACCTTTGTCTCCTCATTCCTTCCTTCTGCCAATGCTTCTGTTGTGGTCCATTGAGGGCGCATGGGATAAACTATGGTGACCAATGGAGACGGCCCAGGTAGACAATGCATTAACCCTGTGATGCCACCTGAGACCAACTGAGTCAGTGTGACCTTCCATTGCATTCCCAGCCATATCCACCACCGCACCTGAGAGGGGCAGTTTGCAAATGAGAGCCCTCCCTAGGAAGAGTCCCTTTAGGCTGCTCCCAATGCATGTCTGGGAATCATTGTCAAAACCATGGCATCAGTTTTCTGTTTCTCCCTCTTTGTGTTTCTAAGTGCTGTACTCTTCCTATAGAATCCTCTCAGATTCCATGTACTGAGTAGCTCCTTTAATGAAGACCACAGGGTGTCCCTCTGGTTTGTGATGTTTCCATCACAGAGATTTCACTGGGGGCCCGGTAACCTCTAGCCAAGCTTCTCCTACAAATAGACCTTACTTAGCTGGAGGCTCAAACAGAACATGATTTTATTTCCACCCCCACATCTACCCAACTTCTTGAAACACCAACTCTCTATTTCACTGCAAAAATAAAATATTTTCCCCAGGCCCTGGTTGCTTTCAGTATAGATATGGTCCCTCTTCCACAAAACCCCCCTTTGAAAATCTTTTCTAATCTAACAATTTTTTTTTCCAATCTCCAGACAACAGCCTGTTGTTTTCTTTATCATATTCAAATGTTTCATTCTCACTTTTGAGATTTCTTGCTTAGTTATCCTTAGCCATTGAAACCTTCCCCTCTCTTCCCTTTCTCCTTACCTAAGCATCTTTCCTGGCCAAGCTAACAATAGAGGGAAGAGGGAACAGTACTTCCAATGGTTAAGAAACTTAGCAGTGCACGATAATTGAATGCTAAGAATAGACACGAGGCATACAGTGTCAGCATGGATCTGAAACGAGGTCTCCGGTTAAAGTAGGTCTTGCCCAGGTAAATATTCTATGACTCTTCCAAGGGGAGTCAAGGCAGGCTTCCATTATAAGCCTAGTGCATTCAGACGCCTATACTGACACCCAGGGTAACAGAGAATATAGCACTTACAGCTTACAACTGCTGTAACGGATGAATTCTCATTAAGTGAGCACAGTGTTCCAGCATGCTTTTCCCCCTGAGAGTAGTCTCCTTATTTCCATAGTTATACATCTACTTGATTCATGTTTAATTGCATTTTTTTCCTCCCACCAAAATATGAACTTACAGAAACTGTATGGCCAGCATGATTTTGTTCCTGAGCCTGGAGTCTCTGCCCCAAAGATCTGCCAGTCACTTTCTTGTGTCTCCAAAGAGACCACTGCTCACAAGATGTTAGTCAGCTAGACTCTGCTTAGCTTCCAGAAACAGAAGCCCAACTTGTAACCTAGTTAAGGAAGCTGTTATTAAAAGGAAACATAATAAAGTTCAGCTGTTCTGTGTTTAAACAGCTCAATGCACAGCATGTTCCTTCTGTGTGTTAAAAAGGGGGGGTGGGATGAAGGGAACAAAATTAACCCATAATCCTTTGTGGCTTTATCACATATCTTCACACTTCTCAGGAGACTCTAATTTCAACTCAGTAGCTCTGATTTACATACTCGCTAATGTGCACACACTGAGGTTCGCCGTTCAGTCCCCATATGTTTATCCCAATGGCAAATATTTGTATTGTAAAGACCTCCATCATTGCCCACCTCAAGTAATTCCTCTTCACCCACAATTTGATGGGGGGTGTTGCCACCCACTTTTGTTGCTTCAGACCTGACATAGGCTAGAAAAAGCTTTTCTTGTAGATAGTAAATAATGACGATATCTTTGTGCATTTGCCTCACCCAATGTGTAGAGAGGAGACAGGCTATTCCTTGAAATACTTCTCTGATGGTGTGAGCTAGCACACAGGACCAACTTGGCCAGAAATACCTTTCTGTGTTGCAGGTAGATAGAGATTGCCTGGACCCTTATTGTCATCGGTTTCTGCACACTCTGGATTCTTGGATGCTTCTGTCTCATAATCTTAACACCTGTCCCTCTTGAACTTTGTCCCCAATGGAGCCCTCCGTTTTTAGGGTTGGATCACGTGGACAAGTTCAACTCTTTGGTAGCACTAAAAGCAGCTACCGAAGCTAGCTGCTTTGTTCTCTGACCAGAGCTTGGACATGTCTGGGTCTTCTCTGACCAAATGGTCACATTTCTTTATCACAACACTCTTACCCACCCCTCCTGAAAGAAACCATGCCTGTGCACCATTTCTAACATAGCTGTCTCTCGGTCCAGCTGACGTTTGCTCCATTGATGTTCAGTTGACATC